ACATGTTTTGTACGGCTCGGCAATGCTACCTCCTTAAGGGAAAATGTACATTCTGTAGAGAATCTCCTTCCCTTTCTGTTCTTATCCTTGTTTCCTTTTTCCTGACGTGGGAGAGAATTAACTAAGAGTCTGGTACCTTTTTAAGTCTGATAAGAAACGCTTACCATCTATTCTCTCTGAAGCCTGCTACCTAAAGGCCTTCATCTGCATAATAAGAACTTGGTTTCCACAACTCCTCATCTTAACCCAGACTCCCTTGTATTGATTCCAGGTCTTATAGACAACCTCTTTCAACCAATTGCCCATCAGAAAATCATTGAATCTACCTATGATCTGGAGGCCTTGCTCCATGCCCCCCCGACCCCCAGCTTTGAGTTGCTTCACCTTTCTGGACCAAACCAATGCTGATCTTACATGTATGACTGATGTCTTATGTCTCCCAAAAATGCATAAAACCAAACTATAGCCTGAACACCTTGGACACATGTTCTCAGGATCTTCTGGGGCTGTGTCATGAGCCACGGTCATTCATATTTGGCTCAGAAGAAATCTCAAATATTTTATGGAGTTTGACTCTTTTTGTCAATACCAGGCCTATGGAATAAAATGAACAATGATAAGGACAGCAATGACACTGGTGGCAGCATTTTGCCCCAAGCTCTGTTCTAAGTACTGTGTACCTGTGACCCCACTTCATTCTCCTATCGCCTCCCCAATGATGGACAGTCAGATGGCTGATTCAGGACTGTGCCTTGCAGTCTGGGCAGAAGCCTGTACCCACTACTTTTCAGGTGACGCATGACACCGGACACACTGGTCCACTGGATCAGTAAATGAACACACCGAGTCCAAGCTCCTTTTGCAGATGGGCCAAGCGCCTCAGGGCATTGACATTAAGGGCTCCAGTGTCAGTCACTTCCTCATCTTTGGCACTGTTCTTGCAATTCATTTGTTCATCCACTCATTCTAGCACTTATTAACAGCTCCTAGGTGCCAGGAGCCCTTCTAAGCAAAAGTTCCAGGGTGAACAAATTGCCTCCCTAGGCTATGGCTGCATGAGTGAGAGGTCACTACTGAGTCCCCACCGCTGAGACCTGAAGAGCACTGGATCTGGGGGGCACTGGGGGCTTGGGAAATGTTTGTGAAATTAATAAAAACTCTCACAGGCCAAAAGACTAATGGCAGTCATTCCCAGGAAAACACTGATCGTTTTTGCCATGAAGACAAAAGGAACCTGGACATTTAACAATATTCCCTGCCAAAGGCATGAGTATCACCAAAATCTACTTTATGACACACACACACAAATGACAAGCCAAAGCCCCCATCATTTGCGAAATGCTTGCACCAGACATGACGGTTTGCATTTTCTGTGTTTACTGCCCTGGGCCAGGCCTCATGGACCCAGTCTCTATTCTCTGCACCGACGCTGCTTCCTTGGCTTGCATCACACTGGGGAGGGCCCAGTGTCGCAGGGACCAGCAGCCTGAGTCTGTTCCGCCAGCACTGTGCCTCTGGTCAGTGGCCCAGCCTGTGTACGTCAAGCCCTGTTTCTTTATCCACTGAACAGAATATGATGCCTTATCTTACCGAATTGTTTTATCAATTGCATGAGAAAATTCACACAATGTAGCCAGTGTGCTGGCTTACTGGCTAAGAGAAAAAGATGTCAGTGAAACCGCCATTGCAAAACTAGAACTGAGACAGTGAAAGAGACCTGAACTAACCACTTCCTCTTGATTCTAACCTCCAGACTGTCCTTGTTCATTCCTGGGCGTAGGCCAAACTCACTTTGTGAGAAACTTAGTTTATCGTTTGAAACAAAGACAGTAGCCCTTTCCCAAAACAAACCTCCTTCTTGCCTGGTGAACTACACTGCCTTTCTAAGACTAACAAATTAGCCAAAATACTAGAAATTACAGTTTCAGAGACACGCAGCTGGAGGCTAGGAGATTCTGACCCTCCTGAAATTGCTCCTTGGAATAATATCACTATTGTAAAACCTGAGATCAGCGCTTGAGGTATTTTGCAGACCCTGTACTAGATGGATCAGCTGGCATCACCCAGATTGATAAACTGGCTCATCTGGTCTTGTGGCCCCGACTCAGGAACTGACTCAGCACAAGAGGACAGTTTGACTCATCCCCAACCCAATCCATCAGCACTCCTGACTCACTGGCCCCTACCCAGCAAATTATTCTTAGAAACTCAGACCTCTGAATGCCTGGGGAGACTGATTTGAGTAATAATAAAACTCAGGTCTTCTGTACAGCTGGCTCTGCGTGAATTACTCTTTCTCTGTTACAATTCCCCTGTCTTGATAAATGAGCTCTGTCTAGGCAGCGGCCGAAGTGAACCCACTGGGTGGCTGCATCAGTGAAAACGGATTGATTTTTATCCCTATTTTACAGATAAGAACATCAAGTTCGTAAAGATTAAGCAACTTGCCTAAAGTCACACAGTGAGCAGGCAGAGAATTCAAAGCCATATCTCCCTGGCTCTGATATGCATTATCTTTGCAATATAGGATTCCCCATCACTACCAATCACTAGCCACCACCCAGGCTCATGTAATGTATAAGGAGAAAACAGGCAGTGGTCCCTGCCTGCCCTCAGTGCAGCAGTGCAGCAGCAGACCCTGTCCAGTGACATCGTTGGGGCTCCGGAGGCAGAGGGCCTGCTGGGTGTGAGCAATAATTCCCTCCACCACTTACCAGGTGACCTTGGACAAGTGCTGTGGAATGGTGAAATCTCAGGGGTTATAGAAAGATTAAAGGGATTTTACTGATAAGCACTTAGAACCAATTCTAAGGTTATCTCAGCCTGGGCCGGGCTGAGAATCTCTACTGATTAAATACAAGTTGGTGATGGTGGTGCTGTGGTGATCTAGACTATGAAAGAGAAGCTCCTGGAAATCTGAATGTAACGGGTACAGAGACCACACCCAGCAGGAAAGAGAGTGGGCGTATTGACAAGTAGTCACTCATCAGCTCTTCAGCCTGATCTCATGATGGCAAATGGAAAAGCTGAATTGGAAAGCTGCCTATTCCTGTGTTCCTTGTTGTTTCAATTGCTAAAACTAAATATCTGATAATTTACAGAGTAAAGCAGTTTCCCCTTGGGATGCTGAGTTGCACCTCCACAGGTACCTGGCTCTGGCCATGCCCTCAGGTGATGGAGCCTGAAGCAGCTGGGCCAGCCTTGAAAGGAGAGGCCATCTTACCAAAGAAGAACAGAGCCCATGAGCAGAGCACTTAGGAGGGTCCTTGCACAAGCTCTCTAGTGGTCCCCTTGGAACAAACCTACTATGTAGATGATGAATCCCAGGCGGCAAAGGCTGAGACCACTGTCTCAGGTCCCACAGCTGCTCCGAGGAGAAGCTCAGAGTCTGAATTTAAACCCAGGGTGGCATGGCTTTCAAGCTTCTGGCCCCTGCCTAAGGCAGTGGCTGCCTTGAGGCTCACTCAGAGAAGGATGAGAGCTGTAGCCATCTGGAGCCCAGGGTCTCCTATCTACCCAGCTGCCTGCTCATACATGCACAGTCCATACTGCATCTGAGTCAGTGTCTGAGCCCCCATGTGTGGACATTAGGTCTTTGACTCGTCTCAGTGGCCCTTACACACTCTCTAAATGAACTCCTGTGTTGCTCTCCTGCAGTCTGCCAGCCCTGCATTTATGATCAGCAGTGCTCTCCAAGTGTTTCCCTTACTGCCAAAAGCCAAGTCCCGCCCCTTCTCCCAGTCTGCCATCCAGTGGCCCCTCCCTGAAGGCCCTCCAGCTCTAGACTCCCAACACCCTCCTCTGTCTCTGCTTCATGTTCCGCCCTCCCCAGGGATCTCCTCTGCATTCGCTGTGAGACTAGATTTTACTAACTTTGTAACATGCTCTAAAGCAGGGGTCCTCAGCCCTGGCTGCACATAATATTCATCTGGGGAGCTCTGAATAAAAATACAGTGTCTAAATTCCAATCCCAGATATTCCGTTTCAGCCAATTTGGGTGCCCAGGCTCAGGCAAAGATGCATCATTAAAGTTCCAAGGATGATTCTAATGTACAGTCAGGGTTGAAAAACACTGGTTTAAAAAACAGAGTTGTCAGATTGGGATGAGAGTTTGTTTTGAGTCCTGCTTCTAGTACAAATTAGCTGTGTTAGTGACTCTGGTATAGAATTCTTTCCCATCTTAATTTGCCTCTTCTTCATATACAAATAAGAGTTCTCACCCAGACATCCCACACAAGGGATGCGAACATGTTCTAGAGATTCTAAATAGTAGCAGCATGCATTTGTCAAATATTTATTAAGCCTTTACTCTTCTTTTTATTTATTTATTTAACTTTAGGTGCATACTATATCTGGCATTTCTCCCCATGTTAGCCCTCCCCCCCCCCGCCGTCTCTCCCCTACCCCCCCAACTGCCCCTAGTGCGTGATACTCCTCTCCCTGAGTATGAAAAAATGCTCATCATCACTGGTCATTAGAGAAATGCAAATCAAAACCACACTGAGATACCATCTCACGCCATTTGGAATGGTGATCATTAAAAAAAGCCTTTACTCTTAATGCATGCTCGATAAGGTTTGTTTGGTAAATGAATGTCACTGTTTTCATTATCATCCCTGACTCTAACCTCCCTGCTATGCCTGAGGCCATCTGTGCACAGGTACAAGATTCTGTCACCCACAGTGAGAAGCACTGAGTCACTAGTCAACAAATGCTTGCTCAGTGGAAGGGTAATGGACAAATGCATATGTGTAGTCTAAGCTTCAGGGAAACAAAGATCTGTTAACATGTTTAGTTTTTCCAAAATATCTGCAAGGCACATACTTATAGACACAGTGATGTAGGGTAACAGAATATAAGCATATTTCTCCAGCTTGATATCTAGAGTGAGGTTACAAGTGGTGTCTTTTCACTTCTGTTTCTGTAGCAAGCAAGCAACTGCATTTGCCTTGCAAAACTACTGCCATTCATTCAGACTCCTGCGCCAGTTCTCCAATTACCTGTAGCTCTGAGCACAGCTGAGAAAGTGTTTCTTCAACAGCAAGCGCCTCTAGAAAGAAAAAAATAAACCGTACAATTAAATGAACACAGACTAAAATGCAGCCGTTGCTAATTAAATGAAACAGCTAAAGTTTCACATTGGTATTAAAGTCATAGGGACAAACACATTGCTGAGGACCTTATAGCTATTCTAACTTTCTAAAGGGATCGTGCTTATAAGGAGAATAAACTTGATTGGAGCCACAGACTGAGCATTAGATAAAAGCCGATATCATCTCATGCACACAGTTATGAGAAGCAGTACATTCCCAATTCATACAGCACTTTGTGTGGTCCAGAGAGATTCCATTTATTTCTATTTTTGCAGACACACACACATACAATATATATATATATATTTGTCCATTATGTGTGGTACATGGATTTGGGTCTCTATCTTACACATAAAATACCAGAAGACCAGAGAAGCAGAGTGACAGGGAGAACCTCCTGCTCAGCTCCACTGGCTCTGATACTGAGGAACGTGGCCAGCTTATCAGCAGAAACCAGGTGGCCTCTGGCCTTTTGTTTTAACGGTCACAGCTGTGACTGGGTTTGAACTCTCCTCTGGTTCCATGATGCTGTTGTCAGTCATCTGCACATGGCTCTGACATGGATTTTAATTAAAGTATGGTTGCTTAGGTGAGTGAAAACAATCCCTGAGAAAGTTAGGATTCTTCTTGCTGACAACCTAATTAATAGACACCTCTCCATGTCACTGCTGACCTCAGGTCCCTGAACCCCACAAGGCAAAATGAACTCTTGATACACTGGTCATGGCTGTGTATCCTCAGGGTCTAGCACAATATCTGACATATAGTACATGTCCAATAAAATATGATGAGAGTGTGAATGAACAAATTCAGCTCCTTTGGATAAAATATAATAAGAAGTTATATCAGGAATCCAACTGCTACTGAAAAATCTCCATTTTTCATTTGAGCTATATAAAGTGGTTCTGATTCTGTGCATGTCTTTACTGCATGCATAATATTTGAACTTGAAAAAAATTCAATGATTGCATGATTCAAAGAGTAGTGCCTGAGTACAGAGTTTGGCTAAGATGTAAGAGCTGATAAAGCTAATGGCAAAAGGGCTCCAGAATTCAATTCAACAACTATAATCCTGTACTCACTCCTTTACACTCCGTACCAGGGACAGTGTAGCAAGGATCTGAGGGGAATCTGCTCTCAAAGATCTCAGTCTAGTTGGGAAGCAAAACATGCAAAGAAATCTTTGTTACATGATGATTTCAGTGCAGCAATGAACAATGAACAAGGTCACTGACCCGGCCAAAGCCACAGTTATCTCAGCAGTTGAGGTCTAAGGGTGCAGATAGGGAAGTCAAGGTACCCAGCAGGATTCTGATGTTGAAATGGGTGCTATCCTCAAAAAGCAGGCTGAGGACTTGGATTCTGTTCTAGAGACGATGAGGCCTTATTAGAGGACTTTGAGCAGAGCCAGGACATACCACCTGTTGTTACTGACTGTGACATGATACAAAAAACCCTGCCCCCAGGGGTCAGCACAGGATCCCTGAGCTCCTGTCATGGCTCTGCCACACATTGCTGTGTGATGCTGGGCAAGCCTTTTACCTCTCTGAGCTTCAGGTTCATTGTCTGCCAATCAACAGAGATTCAGGCCCACTGATTTCCATGATGTGTCATCTTTGGAAAATCCATGTGCAAAAATCAACTGATCCCCAGATAACCAAATGTAATGGATACTAAAAAGTTTCTATAGTTATCCAGAGCAAGTATATATGTATGCATATACTTATAGATGTGTGTATGTACATATATATATATATCTTTATGAGGATTTTTTACACTCTTATAAGTTACAATTCCATAATTACAGCTTGATTAAGGAAAGGCTATAAACTAGCATTTTCCTCTAGAAAGCAACCTCACATTATGCACTGGGGTGGCAGGTGTGTAATAGGTACTCAACAGATGTCTGGAAGATGAACACCTGAGTAAATGAATGCGCCTTGAGGAACATATGTCTTCTCTTACTACATTTGCATCTCCCAGATCCTCTCCTGTGAGAATGAAAATGAAAAGCACAGCCCAAACCTACCTGGACCAGTGGTATTCCTGTGACATTTACAAAAGCATGCCAGCTTTCCCCGTTCCCTTGTCTGGAGGAGGCTCATGAGCTGCTGGAGTGGCCTTGCCCCTGTCCCAGACCCTTACCCAGGTCCATGTGTGGCAGCTCCGGGATGTCCCGCATCATCACCAGGAAGTAGAGACGGAGTCCCCGGTAAGCGTGGAGGAGCAGCAGGCACAGGTCTCGGTGCCACTTGTGTGCATGCTGCATGCAGTTCTCGGAGGGGACATAGAAGCTTCCCTAAGGGGTGAAACATAAACAGAGGCTGAGGAATATTGCACCAGGTCCAGGCAGCACAGGGCCTTGACCTTCCATCCACCCACACCAACATTCACAAAGTGACTGGAAGTTCGGGGAAGGAAGCAGGTCCCATCCTGAGTAAAACTGGTACATGGTTGAAGATTGCAGGAAAAGGGATTCCTGAGCTGAAATCGCTTCTTTATCCTTCCAAGTAAGAAAATACTGAAATCTGCCACACCTTTGACTTATATTCAAATTGGAAATCATAAAATAGCAACAATTATCACAATAATAATGAATGATCATGAAGGTGATGAGGGCACTGGCCTCACAGGTTTGAGACAACTGAGTGGCCCCATTTACAAGCTGATATGGTTTGGCTCTGTGTACCCAACCAAATCTCACCTTGAATTGTAATAACCCCTAAATGTCATGGGAGGGACCCAGTGGGAGGTAACTGAATCATGGGGCAGGTTTTCCCATGCTGTTCTTGTGATAGTGAATAAGTCTCACAATTTCTGATGGTTTTATAAAGGGGGGTTCCCCTGCATATGCTCTCTTGCCTGCTGCCATGTAAGACATGACTTTGCTCGTCCTTCACCTTCTGCATGATTTTTTAGCCTCCCCAGCCATGTGGAACTGCAAGTCATTTAAACCTCTTTCCTTTATAAATTACCCAGCCTTGGTTATGTCTTTATCAGCAGCCTGAGAATGGACTAATATACAAGCCTCCTTTCACCACCACTGCAGGGTGCACTGTAAGAAGAGGCCATGGGACAGACAGCTGTGGGCTCCTTTTCGAAGAGAGAGAGAAATGTAGAAAGACCCTTGTAGCAGGTGGGTGAGCAGCAGGTCATGCTGAAAAGGAGGAAAAGAAAAAGTGTCATCATAATGTGGAAAGAAGTTGCAGGTTAAGTAACCAGTGCTGAAAACACACCTGTATAAAGCTCTGCACATGGGCATGCAGTGTCAGAACACTGTGCACTCTATTTTATTTGTAGAAATAGAATGGATGAAACTGGTAGAATTAATAAGTAGTTTGTCCCATGAGGAAAAGACACCTAAGTCTACAGTGGACTTGGAGACCAAGGCATGATGGAAAGGAAGGAACAGGACAGTTCTTTCTTACCAACCCAACAGAGAAGGATATCCTGAGGTGAATTTCAAGAGATTTGTTCTTAGAGCAGAGAAAGGAATCCTGTGGGAAAAGTCCTGGGCACAGAGGTGGGAATTCTTGAGTAATGTGCTGGTGCCCATCTACCACTCATATGACTGTGATGGGAAAAGGCAGTGGCTCCTGATGTTCCCAGGCTGCACTGCCTGCCTGCTGGAAGAATGCCAGATGAGGAGTGGGTGGCATTTCACCCTTGGCTTTTGTGAGTGTGTCTGCGCAGCCGACGACTGGAAAGCCTCCTACTTTGCTTGGCCTCCTTTCTCCTCACTACCATCCAAGAGAGTTGAGTTGATCCAATGGGGGCTGGGCAAGTCTGCTGGGGACAATACACATCTGCACATCATCTGCACCCACAATGGTGTTGTCTAGGCATATAATGGTGGGCACTATTATACCTACTCTAACCACCATATCGCAATGATTGTCATGTGTGAGGCAAGGTGCTACAAATCAGGAAACTTGGATGGAAGTCTCAGGTCTGCCACCATCTACCTCTGAGACTGTCTCAGGTGAGAGATTATGAGAGACCAGGAGAGGGTCATTGGGTTGTGCTCTCAGGAACAACATCTGTGCAGCTGTAAAGCAGGACCAGTGGAAGAATGGCACTGCATTGTCATACAGGTACAAAAGAGACCTCACCTGATGCCATGGGGACTGTTGGGCCAGCTGAGTCATCCGACCTTGGGGCAAGGACCAGGTCTTTGTACTTATTCCTTGGTGAGTACTTGGTGTGGGTTACCCTACGTATTAGTTTTCACAGTACTATAAAGAAATACCTGAGACTGAATAATTTACAAAGCAAAGACATTTAATTGACTCACAGTTCCCCATGGCTAGAGAGGCTTCAGAAAACTTACAATCATGGAGGAAGGGGAAGCCGGCACATCTCCACATGGCATCAGGAAAGAAAAGTGCAAAGAAGGAACTTATAAACACTGATAAAATCACAAGATCTCATGAGAACTCACTATCATGAGAACAGCATGGGGAAAACTGTCCCAGTGATCTTATCACCTCTTCCCTCAACATGTGCGGATTACAGGTTCCTCCCTTGACACATGGAGATTATAGTTTGAGATAAGATTTGGGTTGGGACACAGCTGAACCATATCACCCTAGCAGAGATGTGTGACCTTGGGGGAGCAGCTCTCTCCAGACAGGGCAGTCTCCATACTTGGCCAATTGCTGGTGACCACCAACATTCCCAACAGTGTGAAGAGTGAATGGCCCAGGTCTGAAGGTAGGTCTGAGCATCACACCACAGAGTACACAGGAGCGACCCTCTGCAGAACTTTACCCTCCATGGCTTGCATTTCTCGGCTCTGAAACCTGGCCTTGGATTAAAAGCTTGTCCATTTCCTTCTGAGCTTGACATTCAGCAAGGTTTGGAATCAGAAGACTTGTCCATTTTAGAACCAGAGAACTCAACCAACTACCCTGTCTGTGTTCACCAGGCATTCAGGGTCACCTGCACATTCACATTTCTCAACTTTCCTATTATATTAAGATAGAATAAAGAGAAGCCAGTCCAGTTGTAGAAAGTCTAGAAGAGCTGATATGCAGGATGGAGCACATCAGCCCAGCCAGATATGTGGAGCAGAAAGGAAGCCACTGCTTGTGAAGGCTCTAAATAGTCCTATTGTACTTTATTTGCTTTGAACTTCAACAAACACCAAAAAAGGCAGATACTCCCCTTTTGCTTTTCAAAACGGAATAGAAATATGGTGAAAAAAACAAAACCCCATCGATATCATCAAAGTAAACACAACATGAAGTGTTCCATTCCCCATAGTCTGGTAATTTTTTTCTTGTGGATTCTTCTGGAATACTACCCCCTATGCTCTTGTACATGCATACACACTTACTGTATGTGTGTATGTCCTGAAAACACATACAGACACACTTATAAGTTGGAGAATGCTGTGGACATTTCTCTGTTCCTTGCTTTTATCACCTAACATTGGAATTCCTTCTAATCAGATCAAACAATAATGATAGAAACTCTTATTTCCATTTCATAGATGAAAAGACTGTGGCTCAAAGAACTGAGTGATGTGTGCAAGGTCACTCTGCTTGACAGCAGCAGAAATCCTGCTCAGGATTCAGGGCTGATGTGAGCTTGTTCTTTCTTGGCATGCCACACCTGCCTCTGAAACCAGGCCCGTGGAAAGCAGATGCGAGACAAAGGTCCGCTCGCTTTGCCTGAGACATTCAAGTCCTGCAGTGTCTCTGACAACCATGACTAAGCAGAAATGAAAGCAGAAAGGGGATGAACAAAGGCACCAACTACAGTAGTCATGAATCCCCAGTGAGCTTTAGGTGGCCCCGAGAATCCCATTTTCAGGTCCCACTACCAGCCGCAGTTCCACTGTCTCATCTTCCTGGTCTCATCCTGCAAGTGCTTCAGGACACGAAGGCAAGAAATCTATGAAGTCTCTTGCCAGGTTTGACTTCTAAAACTAGACGCCAATGTCGTAGAGATTTTTCAAGAGAGACTTAAAGAAAACTTTGGGGAATCTTCAAAAAGCTAATTCAGTATAATTACTGAAATAATAAGTCAAAATGCTAATCCAAAGAGAAATTCTGAAATACATAAATAAATAAATATACACATACATGTATATATGATTGCAGAGTATTATAATACATATAATATATAATATATATATATGACTGGAGAGTATTATAAATGAAACAAAAAAAAACTTCCATTCTTCATAAGTTGCTCAGCAGCATGACCTTTTGAAAATGAGCGCTATACTGTAGAAGATCCCATTAGCCAACCGTGAGGGCCTGCAGAGTCAGTGTCACAGTGGACGGGCCAGTATGCCTCCATCAGCATTGCATGAAGTTCACTGAAAAACCCTATGCAGTCTCCCTAGCACAAAGCGAAAACGTTTTAGCGACAGTCTTTCCAGCAATTTGAAGTGAAACCTCTCAATGATAAAACAACAATGAAGCAGGCAGGCAGATAATTACATTGGGAATGAACTCTCAAATAGAAGGTTCCTGGCCTGGGCCTGCCCCACAACAGAAGCAGGACAGGAAATAAAGGGAGGACATAGCCTCCCTTTATGAGGCTGAAGCAAGTCTGCTGTCAAGGGGAACATATTTGTATGGCTAAATATGGAGTCTGAACAGGACAAACAGTGTGTATTTTTTTTTTTTTTTTTCTTGAGACAAGATCTTGCTGTGTTGGAGTGCAGTGGTGCAATCGCAGCCTGGACCTCCTGGGAGTAAGTGAGCCTTCCACCTCAGTCTCCTGAGTTGCTGGGACTACAGGCATGTGCCATCATGTGTGGCTAATGTTTTATTTTTCTTGTAGAGATGAGGTCTCAAGATGTTGCCCAGGCTGGTTTTAAACTTCTGGGTTTAAGTGATTCCCTCTCAAAAGTAGTGGGATTCCAGGCATGAGCCATGCCTGCTCAGTCTTTGTTTTTGCTTTCTCACTTATTACCAATGTCACCTTGGGAAGATTTCTTCCTCTCCCTACATAGCAGGTACCTGAAAAGAGGGCACAGTCCTGAAATCGGCATCAGAGGAATGCTGTTACGGATTAAATGAATAATTCCAGCAAAATGTGGACTTAATGTAATGCCCCAGTATAAAGTCAGTGCATGCTAAAAGGAACTTTTGCTTACTTATGACATGCTCATTGATGGCCTTGGTGAACATGACTATGGATGGTGCAGCTTAAGATTCAACAATGATCGCCGGGCACTTTGGGAGGCCGAGACGGGTGGATCACAAGGTCAAGAGATTGAGACCATCCTGGTCAACATGGTAAAACTCCATCTCTACTAAAAATACAAAAATTAGCTGGGCA